GAACCCAGACAAAATTAAAGCTATTAAAAATTTTCCAATACCCAAAAATACTAAGCAATTAAAAGGATTTTTAGGACTTTTAGGTTATTACAGGAAATTTATCAAAGATTTTTCTAAACTTACTAAACCACTAACTACTCGTCTAAAGAAAGATGCTGAAATCAATGTAAGCGATTCAGATTATATCCAATGTTTTGAAACTTGTAAACAACTTCTCATAAATGAACCCATATTACAGTATCCCGACTTCTCCCGTCCTTTCAATCTCACTACAGATGCTAGTAATTTTGCGTTAGGAGCCGTACTTAGTCAAGGAAAGATTGGATCCGACTTGCCAATTGCTTATGCAAGCAGAACTTTGAACAACTCAGAAATCAATTACTCAACAATTGAGAAAGAATTACTGGCAATAGTATGGGCTGTCAAATATTTTCGCCCGTATTTATTTGGACGACGCTTTACTATTATTACCGATCATAAACCACTACAGTGGTTATTTTCATTGAAAGATCCCAACTCCAAACTAGTAAGATGGCGGTTGAAGCTAGAAGAATATGATTATGAAATAATTTATAAAAAAGGATCTTTAAATACAAATTGTGATACATTATCCAGAATAGAACTAAACGTCAATGAAACAAAAAATTTGGAAAACACAAAAAATATTTTTGAATATATGGAAACACTTAATGAACAAGCTCAACAAGATCTTAATAACGAACCAGATACAGAATCGCTGATTGTTGAAATTGATGAAGATAATAGACAAGAAGAAAACCCTGATGACGGTGAGACGATACACACCAATGTAGAAAATCCTACCCCCGGAATTCCTATTTCCGAAAACCCTGTAAACACGGGAATTAACCAAATTTTTATCTCTGAAGTGAATTTTAATCCTGCTAGTCCCACCATAATCAAATTATTTGATAAAAGACAAAGAATTCTTGTCCAGTTCTCAAAAAACAATTTTGAGCGTGATGTTATTGATTTTATTAAAGAATATACCATACCCAAAATAAAATATCACCTTTATTTTGAAGACCCACTATACGAGAAATTTAGCGTTGTTGTCCAAAAATATTTTAAAAATTCTCAAATATCATTTATTAATTGCACTAAGAAACTTATCGATGTTCCTATAAACGAAATTAAAGAAATAATTAGAAATTATCATGAAGGCAAGGAAAATCATAGAGGTTTAGATGAAACGGATAACCGAATTAAATCATTATATTATTGGCCCAATCAACGAGCTTCTATACAAACTTATATTAATGAATGCGAAATATGCCAATTAACAAAATATGATAGGAATCCAATAAAGCCAATATTTAGCATTACTCCTACAGCAATTAAGCCATTTCAGATTTTACATTTAGATTCCATAACACTTGAAAATACCAAATTTCTAACGATAGTCGATTCCTTTTCTAAATATGCCCAACTTTATAAACTTAATTCTGCTCAAGGTATCGAAGTAGCAAACGCTTTGATTAGATTCTTTACTCACCATAGTATCCCAGAACAAATCATTTCAGACAATGGTACAGAACTAAAAAATTCAGTCATTAAAGATTTATTAGCATTACATAAGGTAAAAATCCACTTTATCTCCTCCCAGCATCCAGAATCAAATGGTATAGCTGAAAGATTTCATTCAACTATTATTGAACATATCAGGTTACTAAACAATCAAAATGAGTATAAATCCGACCCAATAGAACAAAAAGTAAACTATGCATTATTAGCTTACAACAGTACTATCCACACCGTAACTAAAATGAAACCCCATGAACTAGTCACGGGACATTTAGACACCAACTCCCCATTTAACATTGACCTAGAGCAACAATTAATTAATAATTATATTTCTAATCATAAGGATAAAATGAAATTACTATATTCTAATATTAACGAAAAACTTCAAGAAAATAAAACAAAAGTTATAAATAAAGCAAATGAAACACGCGAGGAATTACCAACAGAAATTCCTACCGAAGTATTTGTGCGAAACAGACAAATAAAAGGAAAAACTAAAAATAAATATCAAAAAGAAAATATTAAATCCATTAATAAATTTAAGAAAACTGCAAAACTTATTAAGCGACATAAAAATACTACCGAAAACATTCACCTTTCAAATGTAAAACGACCTAAAAGGAAAACTTATATTTTTCCAGGTTCGTCACGATCGGACATACCACAGCCGAAATAAAGGATATCACCCACAACCTAGGCATTCTACCTATAAAATTAGGAACCGCAAAACTCCAAAAATCTAGTCATACATTTGTACATTTTTATAATTTAAAACCACTTGTAACTGAATATGACAACCTGAACAAGCAATTTGAGTATCTTAAAAATAACATTTCTAACAGCGAATTCTTTAAATCAGAGACGTACAACTATGTTAATATTATTCAATATATTAAAAATAGCATACAAGAAAAATTTAGCGGTCTAAATATTCATATTAATTTAACAAGAAGGAAAAGAGGCTTGATTAATGGCTTTGGTTCAATAGTAAAAGCAATCACAGGAAATTTAGACGCCGAAGATGGCGAGAAAATAAATTTAATACTAGAACATTTGAAAACAAATCAACAAAGATTAGAACATCAGATACTTAATCAATATTCCCTCAGTCAACAAATCATAGATAACTTCAATAAAACCATTCAAGATATTCAAACAAATGAAATAATTCTTAAAACAAAGATTTTTGAAATAAAAGATATTGTCGATTTTCAAACCAAAATTGAGAACGTTATTTATCTAAAAGACATGTTCAATGAACTCATTATCACATATAATTCTATACTTGATGTAATGGAGACTGTAGAAAATTCTATTACCTTTTGTAAGCTTAAAACCTTACACCCTAGTATTATTAAATCTAGTGACCTATTTCGAGAATTACAAAGAATCTCTTTATTTTACAAAACACAATTACCATTTGAATTAAAACACGAAAATATTTTAGATTTTGAATCCATTCTGGAAATCACCTGTAAAATAGAGGAAAACCAAATTCAATATTTTCTGACAATTCCTATCGATTTTGAGAACATTTTTGATCTTTATTATTTATTACCTATACCCACACAAATTGAGTCAGAATTTGCAATAATAATACCTAATACAAGATATTTGTTAAAAAATAAAAATACAATAATACCTCTCAACGACATCTGCACTCACGGTAAAATTTTCCAATGTCCAAACCGTCTACAAAATAACCAAGAACACCTATGCGAAAAAGAAATAATCTTACGAGAAAACTCCAGTAATTGTCAATATATTAAGGCAGACATCCAAGGCAATCACATCGAAATCATACCAGAGATGAACCAGTTTTTAGCAATATTTCCTATGGAGGAAAAATTAACTTTTAAATGCTCTGAAGGAACTCAAATTCAAACACTGACAGGCATCTTTCTGATCGAAAATACACAGTGTACAATCCTTTTCAGAAACCAAGAATTGTTGTTCCAAGATCGAACCTTTGGACAACCAATTTTAATCACCGAGCCAAAATTAAAATTCAAAGAATTAAGCATTTCACCTATGAAAATAACTTTGAAAAATTTAAAATTTGAAAAAAATCCCACAAACAGAATCACACCCATCATGGAAGAAAAAGAAAATTACCACATTCCCAGCATATGGACCATTATATTATATCTTGCAATCATTCTAATAATCATCTACATTACCTATAAGAAAATAACGATAAGAAAGAGAAAAGAAACCAAAAGAAAGGAAGACATAAGAATGTCAAACATACAGGACCCAGACGATTCCAATTCAAAAATTCACCTCCCAGAAGGAGCCTCAATTTAGGGGAAGAGGAGTTATAGAGCGACGCCTATGGATTTATTGTGCCATGGACTTAAGACTGCTGACATGGTTAAAGCATTGAACTCTAGAGTGCTGACGCTATATTTGCATAATATTGTGAATTGTATAATTGCAATTGTATATGTGTTATTTTAATTAATATTTTATTCAGTTTAGAATCTGATTTTATTGTAATTAGTCGTTTAGCTCTTAATAAATTCTTTTTTAAAAAAGGACTTTTGGCATTCCCAAATTTGAGTTATATATATATATATATATATATATATATATATATATTATAAGGATCACTCAAACGAGTGGTGGGTTCTTATATCGGTCTCAAGGTGGAGAAATAAAAGACAAAGTTGGTAGGCTACTTTATCTATTTTGAAGACGTTTCGCTTTCTTATTCTGAAAGCATCATCAGTTCATCTAAAAAGTACAATATGAGAACCACACAATCATGGAGAAAATGTTATAAGTGTTATCTTAAAAAGACATGTAGCAGCCAATGATATTATCACTCAAGTAAATGGACATTATACGGTAATATTGTATAAACAATCAATTAACTAACAAAATTTAGCAACTTATTATAAAATTAGCACAGCAACAGAACATGTGATCTAATGTATATGTAATATTTTATTTTAATATTAAGCAGTGAAAAAGAACTGAGAATATTATAGATTCACTTCCAACTATATGAAAATTAATTTATGCTTTGATTTTGACTTTAGGTAGCATTATTAAAGTGATTTGAATTGAAATTAAAAAAAATATATAGTGTGAAATGAAGTTACCACTCAAAGCCTCACGACTGCCTCCGGGAAAATGGCGTTAATTGAAACAGATCGAGCCAAAACCGTGAAAAGACAGCCAACCTTGAGGTCAAAAATTTGACATAACAGCAAGGTTAAAATACCAACCCAAATAATCGGACGGTGTATTTAAAAAGTTCAAATGAGTTTGGATGACAACCCGCTTGTAAGAGACCAACCAATGAAAGAAATTGGTATTAATAACAGCAATTCCTCGCATTATCATCATCATCAAAGCGCATTGAACGGAACAAAAATAAAAATCTTTTGTAACTCATTACAGCTCTAAGAATTTCTATACCTGTTCTTGTACTAGTAATAATACACAACTATAAATTGTTGAACAAATATATTAACACTATAAAAAACCATATTATGTAATTTATTATAAAGATAATAAAAATCGTCCCAACAACTAAACTAAAAGTAAACTAAAATCTAAAAAATGATTAATAGGTTTCGATTACAGTTAGTTACCAAGTGATGCATAAATTGTTCAAATTTAAATTTGAACATATTTAGTTGGCTAAAACTGACATCATAATATGTATTAATAGTTAGTTAGTAGTTAATAATTAAATAGTAATATAATAATAATAGTTTATAATATATTATAGTTTTCTTTTTTTAGTACTATTTTCTTCTTGATGAGCAGGCTCTGGTAGTTTTTCTCCACACGCCCTAAAATCAATATTTAAAAGTGTTTATTGTAACTTTAAAAACAATTAATCAAGTTAGTAAGTAAAGAACGTAACAAAGATAACAAACAAACAAAACAGAAGATACCAAACTTAATGTTGTATTTGAGAAAACCTGTTATGAATAAAAGTCATTATGTAATAAATATAAAAGTAAATTAACATAAGAATCAAAATTAATACTGAGTATTTCCTACTCTGAATTGTACACTTTCCATGCGATCTCTAAAGGTCCTTATTAAGTTTCTGACTGATTTCTGACGCTTCCCACTCTTGATCTAATGCAGTTTTTATGGTAGTGGGTTGTATTGTTGTTATTTAATAATTTAACAAAATACATAATCAGCAAAAATCTTATTTAAAACATGCGAACGGGTTTTGCAATTACATGCAGTGTATGCTTGTTTAACATTGGCTGTTAAATAAGTTGGGTTCGATTGTTTCGTCTGTTGTACAATCCTCGTCCTTTTTAGGGTGCAGTAGTTGTATATAAGTATCTATTTTTTATAGTAGTGTAGTAAAGCGGTACTTTAAAGAAAAATTAATAATTTGGAAGAAAATAAAATACACTCGAAACGTAGAGTGTTATCTCCAGAAGAACGACATTTAGTTCTGAATGTCAAACGTTATTTCAATTTGGAAAAAAACAATATGGGTCCATTGACATCTGTTATGGCAGTTCAGAAACGCACCTGCGATGCTTGCGGTATCTCAGAGAGGACATTTCGAAGAATTATGAATATGAGTGAGGATGAAATAAATAAAGTAAGCAGGCGAAATCGTTGAAATCAAAATACTTTAGATTTGCACCAGTCAACTAAACTTGCAATTAAAAATATTATATACCATTTTTCAAAGTAAAACACTTGAACGTCACGATTTCTACAAAGTGACGACACTTGTATTTAAAATTTCCAGAAAATCAACCTTAGAGTTCAAATTTTCCAAACACAACTAAATGCGAAATCCATACGGAACTGCTCTATCTTTCATAGGCGTCAACATGGTGGAATAATCAGAAAAATGTAATCATCATTATATGGGAAATTTTAGAATTATATTGATTAAATAACCAGAAACATTTGTTATTATTAATAATATAAATTTTATAAAATAACTCTTCAAGTCTAATATTCCACAAATTAATCATTTTAATTAAATAAATTAGACAATTGTACGCAACTGATACGGAAATACTTTTTTTTTGAACTTTTTTTTTGACAGTAAACAACATAAAAAAAATACAAACAGTAAATTTACTGTTTGTATTTTCCGAAGTGGAAATTGAAACGTCAATAAACATATTTTTATCTTTAATTGTGGCTTATTCCCAGTTAAATAGTAATTAATTGCTGACTTGTGAGAAAGCCACGTGGGAAAATGAGTCCAGTTCTTCCGTCAATCATGATTCTGCCCCATACCATTATTGTACCACCTCTGTATGCATACACTTCTTGAAGATGTCGTAATCGTTCTCCATTTCCTGGTCGTCTCCAAACTCTTGTCCGACGACAATCTGGATGAAATCCATATCTAGACTCGTCATTAAACAAAACTGTGGCCCAGTGATTGTCAGTCCAATTCTGAAACTCTTGACACCAGGTTAATCTTGCAGCGCGATTGCCTCTAGATAGAGGTGGACATCTCAGTGGTCGCCGACTACGAAGATTGGCTTTATGGAGACGATTTCTTACAGTACTGCTGCTAATTGTTACTTATGTGCAAGCTGTAATTCATTAACCAGCTCGGGTGCTGTTATTGTTGGCTGCCTTCTGGAATTTAATATTAAATATCGGTCTTGAGCAACGGTTGTAGAGCAACCACTTCCTGGATGTTGCTCGGCTGGACTTCTAGTGTCTCTAAACCGACACTACAAACGACTTACGACGCTTTGGGAGACACCCAGCTGGTCAGCAACTTGAGTTTGTCGCATACCAGCTTGAAGGAGGCTCACGGCTCTATTCATCTCATCTAACGTTAAATGTTATCGTTGCATGGTAAAAGACAATATCCTTAACTTCCCTATTAACAAAGAATGGTAGAAAGTGCCTAAAATTAAAAATAAACAAAACATAAAAATGTCGATTTTTTTGTCCCTTATAAAAAACATTCTAAAACACGTATTGCTATCAGTTTTAATTTTTTTTTTTTCATAAGAAGTGAGTGTTCTGTATCAACAATTATAGTACAAGCAAATTTATATGGTCATAAAATTTCTGTCATTGGTATTGTCAAAGTATTAAAATATCCTTAGACTTTTGCATTGTGTGTTGTATATATAGATATATAGAGGAAAGGATGCAAATATGGGCTACCCATTTTGTATTTCTTAGAGATTCATATTTGAATGAATCAGTTTAAGAAAGAACACGTTAATCTGTTTTTATTACTTACCTATATCGAAGGCGGACCGTGTTAAAGATTCCCTTTGCAATTTTTGTATAATCTTTTTTAGCATATGCATCAGAAAGATAAACAACTTCTTTAATTCCTGATTCTACTATAACTTTTGCGCATTCATTGCAGGGGAATAAGGTGACGTAAATTGTACAACCATGAAGATCAGCAATAGTTTTCTTTATGATAGCAGCCATCTCAGCATGAATGACTAAAACAAAGAACTGAATCAAAAAGTAAATGGTTGAACTATATATACTTATACACATAACTGTAACATGTAACATGTACACATACTAATAAACTGTGTTGTTTGTTTATATCGACAGTCACTAATATCCAGTATTGTCGATATAAACAAACAACACAGTTTATTAGGACTGCACTCAGAAGTTTAGCCGGGATGTTATAGAAACACTCTGTTGACTTTTGGTCTAGCTTTTGAAATTGTTTTATTCCTTTTTCAAGACACTGAAATAAGAAGAATGTGTAAATATTTACAATATATCATAATTCGTCACTGCAACTTACTAGTCTGAACTTACTAGTTGAAATTATTTATATAAAGCTTTGACACTCAACATTACTACATTAATAATGTTGTATGTGTATTGATGTATTAATAAGAAAGCGGCTGGCCTAGACGATATACGAACAGAACAAATAAAGCCTTTTGACTAAAAACCCTAGAGTGGCTCTAAAAATGATAAACTGTTGCGTCTCTCTTTGGTGTCACCTTTTTAAGGCGTTCGAAAGAATGATACTAAACCGGATGGCTGAATCTGTGAAGACTAAAATTATTCCTGAACAAGCAGGGTCTAGGCCCGAAAAATGCTGCTGCAGTCAAACTCTGAATCTCATCCAACATACTGAAGATGGCAGCATCAACGGCTGCTGGTTAAACTCTACGAAATTACAAAGGATTTCCGACTAACAAGGTTAACAAAAGGTCTTCTCTAGAACAAAAGATTTTGCGTAACGCTCCAGTCCAAGAACAATCGGTGGTGGGATTAAAAAAATGGATTCTCACAGGAAAGTGTCCTTGTGCCATTGCTATTTAACATTTACACTAACGACAAACCCAGAAACCAACAAATAAGACAGTTTATTTACGCAAATGATACAGCTGTGGCAGCTCAGGGAAGTATCTCCAATGAAGTCAAAGTAAAACTGACAAATGCCATAAAAGAGTAAGCATTATACTATGACGAAAACCATCTGAAACCCAATCCTACAAAAACCCAGGTTTCCACCTTCCGTAAGCGCCAGAAATAACATCATCCGCAAACTAACAAACACAAAATGGCAAACACAACAACACACTCCCAGTACTTCTGCCCTAGCATTATGTTTTTTTGCCGCCGAGTTTGGAGCACCAGTGTGGGAACACTCTGCTTACATTAAAAACGTCAATGTTGCGTTAAATGAAACGATTCGTAGAATATCTGGTTGTCTGAAACCGACACCTATCAGCAGAGTATGAGTCGCTTGGGCCACCCCCCTCCACTCCCACTCTGACGTCGCAAGATATCGACGCTGAAATGTCATCGCCATGTCAGCGTTGAGTCAGCGTCATGTCAGCGTCGAGTCAGTGTCGAGTCAGCGTCGATATATTGTCACGTCAGAGTAAGAGTAGAGAGGGATGGCCCAAGCGACCCATACTCTGCTCCTATCGAAGAGGTCTACCCTACAGTTAGAATCGGTCCACCTGCTATCAGAAGAGAGGTCACGTCAGAGATAGAACGAAAGAAGCAGGAGACGGATCAAAGACACCCCTTGTATGACCACCAAGTTCAGCCAAGTAGATTAAGATCTTGGAAAAGCTTTCTGAAAAAATCGCTATCCCTTCCCTAAGAGCCAAAGACGCGCTGAGAACACCTATGGCAAGCGTCAGCTACAACACATTTTGCTTCCTTAGAGGAAATGGCCGCTGGACACAATTTGTATACCACATGTATACCACATGGAAAGCGCTAAACAGACTACGAACTGGCGTTTCACGTTGTGCTAGTAACCTGAAGAAATTGGGACACCAGGAGGACGATACCTGCGACTGTGGCGCGGTCCAGAATAGTTACCATCTACTATCATGTACAGAGATGAGAGAAACCTGCGCAAAAGAAGACCTATTCTTAGCGAATGACAGGGCCATCTATGTGGCCAGCCATTGGAAACACAAAATTTAAAACTGTTCGTGTTCCGAACATGGAAAGTAAGTAAGTAGAAAACTAAAACAATCGTAGTCAGCAAAGAACCAACCAAATGTAAAATAAAAATTGACGGCATCAGTATTGAACAAATAATGGAAATAAAATACCTGGAAATTACACTGTCTAGCTATGGAGATCTGGACAAAGAAGTAAGAGATCAAGTACAAAAAGCAAATAGGCTGACAGGATGCCTTAATAACACTATATGGCAAAACAGACACGTTAACATTGATATGAGGTCAAGAGTATATAAAACAATATTATGGTATAAACATCGTATATTAAAATGAAATAACCACATAAGCAGAATGGAGGAGACCCGTGTCGTCAAAATAGCAAGAGATAAGTCATCAATCGGCAGAAGAAAAATTGGACGACCGCGCAAAAGATGGTACAACTTTCCATAGAGGTATTAATCCGTCAATAAACAAACAGAATATTTTTTAAAGAGGAAGAAGAAGGAAAGAAGAATTTCTATAAAAAAAGGATTTGGTAATATCGCGGGTAACCTGGCAATACCTCTTATCTGCCATTTTTGCCAAAAATTAGATTTTTTCAGATTTAAAACATGTAGCATAAAGATACACCTTAGTATAAAATCTCGTATTTGATATGAGTAAGCCGAAAGCCTAAAAATCGCTATTGAAAAATCTCCTACCTGACTAGAGGAAATAAAAAAGACGCAAATTATCCTATCTAACTAGTTTGTGTCGTCAAATTCAATCATCCTGATATTGACAATGAAGAAGAATTGGTTGATACTCAAAAATAATGAAGCTAGAAAGAGAAAAAAGCGTTCCTTTAAAAAAAATGTAAAAACTCTAGGAAATATCTGAAGAATGTAGGGCAGCTATTTTTGAAAAGTTTTGGAATGATCTGAATTAGGATAAGCGTAAAGTTTTCGTCGCATTTCACATGTTATATAAGTTCCAACTCGTACTAAAACCAAAGAAAATTCCAGGAGATTAGCACATATCATTATTATTTAAACGATGCAAACGAAATCTTGAAGTTGTCGTACCATATTCTTAAATACACTAGATCTTGGCTACAAAACGGTTCAAGCTTGGATCGACAACAGCAAATTTGGAATGAGTAAAGAAGCTTCTATAAGCATAACCACCAAGGAATACTTAAGAAGGAGATTCGACACGGACTATGGATTATTAAATATCTTTTTGAATCATTACCCAAACTTCCATTTCATTACTGTCGTCGAGATACTCTTAAACCGTACCTGGAAAACACCTTTCAAAACATGGTTCACCTTTACAGTGTCTACTATCATGACTTTTGCAACGACAAAAAAGTAACTCCATTGGGAAGAAATGTTTTTTCTAAGAAGTTTAAAGAGAAGAACTTGTCACTATACAAGCCGAAAAAAGACCAGTGTAATACTTGTTTTTCGTTTAAATATGAAAATATTTCCGAAGACGACTATCAGTTCCATATAAAAAGGAAAGATCTTTCGAGACAAGCTAAGAATACTGATAAAGAGGAAGCGGAAAAAGGCAATCTAATAGTTGTTACAATGGATCTTCAGGCAGTCAAGTTATGTCCTTTTCTTCCCGCTAATAAAATATATTTCAAAACAAAGCTCTCTTGTCACAATTTTACAGTGTATTACCTTAGAACAAAAGATGCCCTCTGTTACTGGTTATCTGAAGATCAGAATAATATAATGAAAGCATCAACATTTACAAGTTGCATTACGCATTACTTAAAGATGTATTGCTTGACTGATTCTAAAACATCAATCGTGATGTTCTCCGATGGATGTGGATATCAGAACAGAAACAGTAATGTACTATTAAATTTTGCTATGAGATACAATATCTTTGTATACCAAAAATTTCTTGAGCCGTGTCACACTCAGATGGAGTGATTCGGTACATAGCTTTATAGAAAGATGTCTTAGGCATAGAGAAATCCATTTGCCTAGCGATTATGAGTCAGTAACGAAGGAAGCGAGAAAAATCCTGCCCCTTACAGATTCCAGCAGAACTCGACTGCTGGAATCTTCATTTTTCAAAGATTTCTCCTCCTCTAAGTATTTAAGATACTCTTCTATTAGAACTGGAAGAAAAACCAACGATCCCCTAATCAGTGACATCAAGAGTATTCAATATGATCCATGCGGCACTATAAGAATAAAATTAGATTATGAGGATGAATACGAAGAACTCCCATGTAGACCAAAAACTATGCCAACAATATTGGAATATATCCCAAACTGTTACAAGGACCATGCAAAATTAAATCTGAAAAGTGGCAACATTAGTTCCGAATCGTTATTTTAAAAAATATGTGTCCATATTTACCAAAATACCCTAAAACAAACTTGTTTCTATTACTTTTTTTTTTTGTTTTAAGTTGTAAGAAATAATTTTTTAAGTTTGAAAAGAAAAGTTAGCAATGTTTTTTATTATATCATTTTCTCCTATAGACAAAATAAAGTGTAAAATATCTTATTTGACAATATTTAAGAATCAATATATCCCAAGTGTCCTAATAAATAGATAATTTAACAATTCTACTATTTTATTTCAAAACAACGTTATAGCTTATATTAATTAAACCACTTGACTTTAAAAATAATAAAAAAGTCCTTATAGTGACGATTTAATCAGTTTTTGTTTTCTCCTGAAAAAAGTGTTTGACATCACGGATATATTGTCAGGTCACCAGCGATATATTTTTTTAAGATTACCTGAAGGGAGTAAAAAAGAATAAAAATATTTTAAAAAAGTTGAAAAAAAAACAAAACCGCATCTGGGGTATATAAAATACCCTGCACGGTCACGGAAAGGTTAAACTAATAAAATTATTAACGGAGCCATAACAGATAATTACACTTTGTTAAGTTAACTAAAGTCTTTTAGATAGAGCCATTTTACACGTTTGAATTGGGAACTTTCCGAGATGTGATATATTATATAATTGAGCGCAATTTGATAATGTATTTTGATTTAGTCAGTGTCAGTTGGTTAGTGGCGAGGAT